CATGAGGGGCCCAAGGGCCCAAGGGCTGACAGCTGAGCTTGCAGTTTGATCTTCGGGACTTGCACGATCTGGCCTCCAGAAATTCCATGGGACGTGGCAGGGGTTTAAGCCTCGATCTAGGCTCAGGACAGGAAGCCTCGACATGCTTGAAACCTTCGAGAATAACCTGAACAGCTGTACAGGATTCCAGAACCCATGGGCCCATGTTCCGCAGCAAAGGTCAAAAAAAAACAAGGGCCGAAGGTTCTGGTTTCGGACTTGAGGTTCGGGCTTTGGGGGTCGGGTTTACGGCTCTTCTACTTAGAGTTCTAGTTCGCGGATTGTCCTCGGTTTCCTTTTTAAGGCCTTGGACGAGCTCACACAAGCAGAGCTAAACGGATTCTAGCAGGGTCACACTGTAGGGTTTAGGGTCTGAAGTTCGGCCTAGGGCGAAGTGGCGGAGAGGGTTGGTTTCAGCGATTTGTGGGCAACTAGAGTCCAGAGCCACTAGAGTGACCGTTCACGCTCAACCCTAAACCCCAAACTAAGTGAAGAGCTTGGCGAGCTCCGGCTTCTTCGCTCCACCTTTTAGCGTGTCCTCGCGAGATCGAGGCTCCAGTCTCCCCCCCTGGCGTGCTTGCTATATTAAGCCATTAATCATCATAGGTACCTTCATGGGAATGCGCAACCCGAACAATATGTCCCAGCACCAGTCTCTGTCCGAGAATGTCTCCGAAAACAGACCTGCAACACACGGTCCTGAGTGAAGATCTCAGCATTGTCTGGGATTCCCTTGGCTTTCTGTGTCTTGGTGCCTCTGCACTTCAGTGCGTGAGACTTCAAGGGCAAGACTCAAGCGCCTTCAAGATCTTCTGAAGGAGGCTTTTGCACGGAGGTTTCGATGGCTTCGAAAGCACTTACACAGCACTCTGCACTTGGACCTGTCGACGTACCAACCTGAAACGCATAACCCCAAAAGCTCTCTTAACCAGCCTGAAGCTTTCCACCCTCGGCCCCCAAGTAATTCATCATTGAAGCCGGAAGAACCGCAAACTTTGGATCCCACAGACCCGAAACCCTAAATGAACTGCGGGTGTCGATACCATGAACCGAAAAACCTCGACTCTGCACTGGCGTTAGCCCTATGTCGATGTCTGAGCCGCTGGCTGAAGAAGGCTGAAGGTTCAAGTGCCCGAGCTAACTTGAACTGTAGCAATGCACTTCTCATTGTCATGGCTTTGGGGCTTCGGGCGTCGGGCTGTGGGCCATTGACCAACGAAAGCCCACAGACCGGCCTGCGCCGTTAATGCCGGAGGTCGCTTTGGTGCTGTTGCCGCCGCAGAAGGACGACTTGTCCTCCATCGCGCGGAGCAGCTTCAGCTTCAGGTTGAAACAGAAGCGTTGCATTTTGCCGATTCGCTGGCCCAGGGCTCGAAAATAGGAGTGCTTGAGCATTCAAGATTTGGATGTCAGAGTTCCGGGTTTCACATCGGCGCGGAGCCTCTACGCTACCCAATTAGCTGAAACATGAAACCAAACGGAAATGGCAGATCCAACGACACCAAGCTTCTTAAGTCTCGAAAACATTGCTCACCATCGTTTTCTGCCGGTGAGTTTCTCAGACTATGGACCACTATGAAGTACATGAGAACACCTCGTAGCGAACGTCTGAGGTGAGGATTCAGGATGCGATTTCGGCTTGGATTGCATGGTATTCTGGAATTTGGGTGGATTGGACAACGGGGGGTATGGGACATGAGCTCCGGGGCATGACCCGCTACGGTAGGCTTTCGGACGTGGGATTCAGTTTGGTCTTGCCGAGGCCCTGGCCAGCAGTACAACGCGACCGCCGTGCTCAACCACAGTGTTGGCTGCGGACATTCCTGCCCAAATGGAGGCGACTCAGAAATTGTACACTCTACACTCCTGCTACCATCTGCCAACCACGAACAGGCTTTGTCGTTTGTCCCTTCAGTATTTATACCAACGCTCCTGCAGCGGCGGCTGATGATCATCATCATGATCATGGCCATGATGGTCGGGGATAACGCAGACACGGGACCGCTACCACCACAACCAACAACAACAACAACAACCACCACCCCCACTAACACAACTACCACCACACCCACCACCACAAGCACAAGCACAAGCGCAAGCACAACAATAACCACAACCGCCACCGCGGGCTCGATGACCCACCGGCCATCGCACGTTCTTATGCACAACCGCTTTATAACCAGAAGTATGTTCCTCATCCTACGGTTCTTTCGGGGTTGAGGGTTTAGGTTTCCGCTCGCAAATTTTTGTGCGGGGGTGGGGGGGGGCTCGGATCTAATCCCACAGGCCTCCCAATCCTCCTCCGACGACGATGGCTTGATTGGTTGGAAAAGAAGTCGCCATGGCCGCCACAAAATCTGTGGCAGCTGAGCTCTTTGGGTTCGGTTAGTTCAAACAGTCTGGCATTTCAATCACTGGAGACTCCTTATCACGCGAATTACTTGTACGACCTGTAAGAGCCCTGAACCTTGAACCCCAAGCCTTATACATCGCAAACCTTTAACCCGAAAGCCACACCTGCAAGCCTGAATCCTAAACCTTCAACTCTTAATCCCGCACCCCGAAGCGAGGAGGAGCTTGCATATCCCTTGAGGAGCCGGGGCTGCTTCAGGTGGAATATTCGCACCTCCGAGAACTTACCAAAATCACTAAGGCCTCGATAGTAGGCGCAAAGGCTTACGTCACCACCGACTCGACTCCGGGTTTCTTCGACTTGAAGCGTGCGCTTGGTCCAGCTTGGTTATAGCTCCGTGCTTCAGAAAACAGGAGGACCCTAACGTAGATTCCGAAATCTTTACCAAAAGGACCCCTGAACAAGGTATCAGGTGTCCCTTAACTTGCAAAACCTTTAGACAACCCTTTACTAATGGAGCATACGTTGGCGCCATCCGAAAACGTCCACGAAAAACCCAGAACGCTTCGGCTTTAGGATTCGGGAGTTGAAGGTGTAGGGATAAGGCTTCGGATTCATTGTTAAGGACTGAAGGAAGGGACGCAATGAAATAGCATCCAGAAACACCGTTCAAGACTGCAGAAACACCCCTCACTTGTCGATGTAGTGTTGGCCCGAAGACCTCCCCTAGGGCGCCCCAAGCGAGTTCTTCATAATTACGAGCCCCGGCACCTGCTGTTGCCAAGATTCAGCGAAGGGATATCCGATGACCTTCCGAGGGTGCGGCCCTGAGACCTTCAACTGTAAAAAGCAAAACCCTCAAACCCGTATACCCTGTGAGGCCTACACTGAGTTGTTGTTTACCGGATTCCTCCATGACTGCCCTGACTTCTTTTCTCATCATGATTCTCATTAGCACTCTGTCATGGATACATGATTTTGTGGCACTGCTACTAATTACCGATCAGGCTCAACGTGAGCAACAGCGAAGCTTCAGTAATAGTCAGTCAACCTTCTGGTTTGTCACTACGCTGCAATACGCTGCTTTACACCAAAACTGCACTCCGGCTTAGGACCCGGGAGCAGCCCCGGCACCTTCTGCGCCACCGGAAAGAAAGACTCCCCCCGCGGGAACAAAAATGGCTTCCGGCGCAGCGCCCACGGTGAAGCTGTTGCTAAAGCATTCTGCGACGCGATGCTTCAGGATTCAGGTTGAGGATTGTGCTTCGCCTTGCTGAATAGAGAAGTGCTTGGGGCTTTGAGGACTTGGGGAGAGGTGGCCAAAGGCTGAAAATCTACGCCTTAAATGGAGGTCGGGGGACCTCTTGGCTTCAGGGCTTGAAGCACGAGTTCCAGCCAAATACTAGAGTGTAAAGACTACAAGCATAGTACTGCCAGTAATCACAGCAGCAGCTATTTCTAATCAACAGCAGTACATAGTTTTAACTAAAAATTGGCCTGGACAGCCACTGCACTAACACTTCGGACTTGCACAGTTCTCGGGAGTGCGTACAGGCCAGGATTGTAGGCTTCGGATTTGGGCCTTGAGGTCTACGACAGCTTGACAACCAGGGGATCGAGCTTGGATTTTGCCCAATATTTAAAGGCTTTCAATGGAGTTCGGGATGCGGGTCTGGGTGCCCTTCGAGGTGAGAGGACTTCCTCCCAAGAGCATGGGCAATCAAGTTTCGGTTTTCCCCACGAAATGGGCTTCCGATATGGGAAGTCTTTTGACCAGGAGATGCGAGACTGCTACACTCCGAACAGTCACTCCTAAATCCTTGTCTCTAAGCCCCAAACCTGGAACTTTGAACCCTGCCACCGAATCTGAACAGCGCCAAGCCCATAACTTCCCAAAATTCTCGAATCTTTGACCATGTGCGTGGCTTCACTGTGAAACCACCGGGGGCCAGCACCCACGGGGCTCCTTGGGAGCTCCCGATAGTGCTTTGAGAGGCCGAGAATCTGCGGTCCCATTTGGAAATGGGGCTTCTTCAGAGCTGCAAAGCCTCCTGATATTTCTCGATTGAGGGGCCTTCTGTAGGGTTTGCTGCTTCAAGGCTTTACATAGAGTTTGAGGGTTTAGGGGCAGCTCGAATATCTCAGGCCAGGAATAGAAACCTACACCCTGCACAACAGTTTCCGAGAAGCCTTCCTCAGAAAGTATGCCACCCAAACTATGGCATGCTGTTTGCATGTTCACGCAGCCTGCCTCTTCATCCGTCTACCTAGAGAGCCCAATGCCCGCTAGCAACACTCTGCCTTCGTTCCCAATAAGAACACGAAGACATATATAGTTTGAGGTGTTGGACTCGGTGCGCCCATCTCAGCTCTAGCACGCTGGAAGATTTGTGTCGCATCTTTGCCCTGAACTCAAGCGTCTTGCGTATTTAAACTAGGGATTCGGCGAGGGCTTACACCCTGAACTCTCGAGCACAAGAGCAAAGACCAGATTGAGTTGAACGTTTGGCTCATGTGTTGACTCTTCGCATTTTGGCTCCCCAAACCCTAAATCGCAGACCCTAGACCCTAAAGTCCGATATCCGGGACCGCAGGAACGCAAGTTGCTTCACATCTGTATTACATCGGCATCTTCTTCGCGCTCGTTTGAGTCGCACGACCTCCAAAGGGGGCGCGTGCTATGGTTTAGCATATGGTGGATCCAAGGGTCTTTCACTGGTCAGTAGACACATAAAGAAATACTGTTCAACAACCACAAACCCACTCAACCGGCTAATGCAAAACAACGGAGCTGAAGATTTCAATTTGGCAGTCGATTTTGTATACGGCTCTATGAGGTTTTATAACGCGTTCAAAGGGGCAAGGCTCAATGGAAACCCCTGGTTTAACAAAGAAACCGTCTATTCATAGGCACTATCGATGAGAATCTAAGATTCAGGCGAGCTACAATAGAACTCATGAGCCCCGGAATGTTGGCAATCACTCCAAGCATCATCTTGTCGAAGTCAGAAGAAGCTCGAAGGCTTGAAGATTCTCAGGCCATGCAACCCAAAATATGGAGAACAAGCGCTAGAATCCACATCAGAGGCTCGAGTAGTCAGCAACCCAACGCACCGCAATAATTGAAAGTGTGATGTTGGTGGGGTTGGTGGGGGTGGTGATGATGATGATGATGAACAAGATGATGATGACCATAATGATAAAGATGATGATGATGATGATGATGATGATGCCATGAAAGCTGGTAGTCATGACGATGGCCAGCGGCCTCAAAGAGGCCCTTGGGGTCCGGAGGACTTCCTCCGATCTCAACGCCACATCGCTGTCAGACATCAGGACCTCCAGAGGGATTCTGGGCTTTAGAGTTAAGGTTTCAGTGCGTGTTTCAAAGAGGGTGTGTGCTGGTGCTAGGAGGCAGTAGCCCTTAGGCCCGAAAACACCCGCGCTAGCCGCTGTCGCTCCACTCTCTTTTTGACCTTGTCAGCTTTGGGGTGCTTTTGTTTCCTGACCGCGCTGTGTTGTATTTATCCTCGCGCTTCGGCTGTCTGTTTCCAAAATGCAAGCAAAGTCTCTGTTGATTTGGGCATGCACGAAGACTGTGCATGGTGCGAGCCTCGAAAAAACACAAGAAGCCCGTGAGCATTTGGGCGCCCCTCCGAGATGCCGGAAAGATATTTGCGCAGAGTGTAGTGGGGTTTGGAGGTCGGGAAAGTGCCGGCCTGGGATGGCAGAAGCAGAGGAAAGACGGCGGGGTTTGCAGTGGCAGAGCTAAGGCTGGCTTCACCGGGGGGCTTCGGATGGCGAAATGTTGTGATGATCGCCACTGCCGCTGCAGAATCTCAGAGGAAAGAAGCCCCAGGCACGAAATAGTGGTTGAATATGTCCGAAAGCTGCTGGCTAGAAGCGTCCGGACTTTTCGTGGAGCAAGACAAGCACTACACTCACTACACAACGAAAGCCCTGCAGAGCCCTGGGAAGCCCTGGGGCCAGAAGGGCTCACTGAGTTTCCAAGGGCTTTGAAGCCGAGCTCCACGGATGCATGGGTTCGATACAAGGCCTTCAACGTTCCGAACAGGGTGCGGGGATATTCAACAACTGTTGTGTGAAGATCGCAGAGGCCTTCTACCCTCGTCCCGGTCTGGGACAGAAATAAAGCAAAAGGGGCTGGGAAAAGGTCCGCTTACCCAGGTTTCTGTGTCGCGAGTTTCTCTCGCGTCTCACAACTCTCCCGCCGCTGCGACTGAGCGGCTATGACCTCTCACAATGATTTGGCTTCAGATCGAAAACTTCTCTACTCCCTCGAAACCCCATCTCTGAAACACGACAGCACTCAACACGCGTCGTGCAAATATGGTAGAGGTAAGTACATGTGTATGTATGTATGTGTATATATATATATATAACGAATAGGGGTCGCAATACTCTGAAACAAAAGTGATGGTAAAGACATATAGTCGCACGACTACACATACGTCTTAGTCGCAATCACAATAGCTGTTTCCAATCATGATATTGAAGCAAAGAAAACAGGCGCAACAACAATTTCTTCCCTTCATTACAACACTCATCACTCGGCACCTCCAAAAACATAATCGAAGAGTCGTGTGCGATCCTGCTTAAAGGAAGCGGGATCCGGAAACTCAACCAGCACCCTCAGGAGAATCAATGTTCATGAGGTCTGAAAGACTTCGAAACACGGCCGGTGCGGCGTGGAGATGAGATTCCAGGTGTTCGATGAGGCTGCCGAAGAGCTCCTGAGAACTCCAGCTTCGGGGTCTGGGGGCTCTGAGACTCCGTTGCGACAGTTTAACGGAGGGTATGGGGGTCTATCAACGGCTTTTGAAGGGGCTAGAAGGGACTGTGTCAAAGACTGTCAGGGGTTGCATTTGGACTTCGGTTTAGGGTTTGGGCCTGGGGCTGTTGCACTTCGAAAGCGGTGAGGCTGGTGAGGCTGGTGTGAACCATCCGCAGACGACGAGACCTTCAGGGTACAATGATGAAAAGTTATTGTCGAACCCCGCCGAGGTCGGGGGGTAGAACACTAGCAGGCCCCAGGGCAAACTCTGAACGTGTAAAAAGCAAAATAACGATCGTTGCTCGCAGTACTCCAAGGTACTCGCTCTTCGAAACCAGCCTTCGTGTTAAATTGGAACCTGGGCAGCAGAGGGTTGGCTTCGATGATTTTGGGTTTAGGCCCCTCCGCTCTGCGGTTGAAGAGGAGCTCCTAGCCAGCATTCCTTTGAGATCTTTACGTTCGCCAAACACCGACTTGGATGCTATGCCCTACAAGCCTGATGAAGCCATCAACAAATCCTGTCTGATGCAAAGTCCTCACCTTCTGCAGCCCGAGAGCGTGGGTGGGAAGACACTGTCCATCTGGTCGCGCATGAGGCGGTAGACAAGCTGGGCTCCCGGAGGTGCCTCCAGGTTATCCTCAAGGGACGTAGAAATTCTTGGGAATTGGGGCTTTGGGTTTGCTTAAGTTCTGGGTTTTGGGGTTCAACAGTTCAACGTTGGAAGTGCTTTGCAGAAGACCACGTTTAGATGAAACCTGCTTCTTGCCTCACTCTTCCCTGTTGTAGGGCTGGGAGATTCGAAAGCTCCAAGCTTCCAACCCGCGAACCCCAGCCCTGGGCCCCCGGCGTTGAAGTTTCTACGAGACCTGTCTAAAAGTGCTGCAGGCAAGCCAGACTTTCTCCGCGGATGAAGCTTACATGCGGAATCAGACTCACGCTCTACACCCTATATAATCCTAACGCCAGGAGCAGAGATTCCGGAATGGTAAACACAACCCCACGAAGACCAAGGGCCGCGTGCAGCACAGCATATGGTCTATTTTGGGATGAAGGATGGGATGAGAAACTGCGCTTCAAACCCCGCACATAAAGACTAAAGAAGGTTCGGGGTCACGGGTTCAGAGTTTGGGTTTACGAAGTACATTCGGTAGATAGCTGTGTGCTCCCCTGCCTGGTCCAGCCCACCCAAGACCCAGCAACTCTAAGCACTAAGCCCTGCATCCCACTACGCCATAAGCCTGAAACTCGTAAACCCTCAAATCCGAAGCACTTACAACACACACCCTGGAAACCGTTGAAGCCCCAACTCGGAGAAGCGACGTCGCCGGTAGGCTTCCGATCCATCCAGCTTCTCAGCACAAACCAGACGCCAAGCAGAGGAACGACCAGGGTTTCCTCAAGGGGGCAGTTGAAACCGTTTAGGGAAATCGCAGGCTTGCGGATTGGGGTTAAGGATGTAGCGGCCTAAGGATCTGGGGACTAAGGTTTAAGCTACAGTTTAAGCTTTGGGCTTCACCTCCCAAACTCTCTCGTCACGGCCTCTGGCCTCTTGTCGACCCCGAACCCACAACCGAAGAACCATTGAAAACTCGAGCAAACGGAACTCTCTCCTTGTCGCAGATGTCCTTGCCATGGTGGTTGAGCCTGCAGCAAGTCATCTCACCGTCGAAGAGCCGCACGACGTCACGGACCCACTGCTCCTCAGCTCTGGCTATGAGGCCCCAACAGGAAAACCAAACCCTGAAGCACTCAACCCTGCAATCTGAGGGTTCACGATTTGGGGCGTGTGCTGTTTAGGCTTACAGGGCATTGGGTCTAGGGACTTGTGGGCAAGTGCACCCTTGTCAATTTCCAGCTCCCCCGAAACGATCCCTGCAAGGTTTCCCCGAAGTGCCGAAAGCCCGAAAGCCGAAACCCAAGGGGTCAAGGTTCACTGCAAATGTCTCTTGAAAATAAGCACTCTCGCTCACAACGAAATCGACGCTTGCATATCAGCCCTTACTCCCAACACTCCAAAACGCCTGGAAACGAAACCCCCAACCTGGAATCCCACAGCACAAAAACGAACAAGCCCTGGCTTTGAGCTGAGTAGCTGTGACCGGCTCCAAGCCGGTCTCGGAGGATATGAGCCTCGGAATTTTTGGAGTGGTGAGGGGGCGGGGGGAGGGCTGGGGGGATGGCCTGGCGGACTCAATGGTGTTTCTAGGCATGCTTTGGGGGGGCTTCGGCTTAAGGGCATTCGGGGCTTCGGGTTGTGGGACTTGAGGGTTCAGTGGGTGTTTGCGGCTTTCGGGCATCCATTTAAGGGCTCGGCCAGCATTCGGGGCTTGGGGCTTAAGAGCTGCAGGCTAGAGATGGGGTTTAGTGACGGGGCGTAAAGTCAATAAACCCGACTGAGCCGCAAACACCCCTCTGACAAAAGCCAGCAACTACTAACTACTAGACGCCGAAGCTCATTGACACAAGCCTGCAACATGCCCTCCTTTCCCAAATCCGCTCGAACCCTACATCCCAAGTCCTTATCTCTAAACCCTACATTCCGAGACTCTGCATCCGGCCAAAATCCTAAGCTTCCGGGCTTCAGGACACCTGCACTCAAACCCGCAAACCCAATTTGGGGGAGGCAGAGGCACATGGAACCCAGATCGTGTGCCGTCATGTGCGCAATCTGCTCCATGCGGGTCCTGCTGCAGCTCTTCAAAGCTAACATTCTGTGTTGGGTGTAGTGTTAGGAGAGCTTGGGTGGGGCTTTGGGTTTGGGATTTGTTGATGAGGAACTCCTGTGGACTGAATGCTATGCTCTTCTGAACACTTGCGAACCCCTTCTGTCGGGGAAAACCTCGTGGACAGATGTAGGGGACAGGTGCCTGAGGGAATTCGGGCTGGAGCCAGGAGAAGCAGTTTCCAAGAATTGCTGCAGTTGGACTGTCAGCCTCCTGGAGAAAAGTGCGAAGGGGAGGGGTGAGGCAGACGGGACCATTTTGACTAAGTAGCTTCCATGGGGACTCTCATCTCCGGCCATCTCCATCTTCTCACCGGAACTCCCAACACCTGCCTGAAAGCATCGGATATAAACGAATCTCCCGCCTGTGGAAACAAGCTTCCTCCAAACATTTTGCATGGGCATCGCCAGTTGCAGCCACAAGGGAAGCGACGGATGCTGCAGATAAGAACAAAACTTTTTGTCGGTGGTCGGCGTACATGCTGTCACCTACAACGAATTACGCCAACAGCTTGGGTAAGCATTTCCATACTCTATGTGCCTTATACACGTAGGGCTTTCCCTGCCTCAGGCAATAGTGTTCCCACAAGAAAGCCTTACTCCATTTGCGGCTAGCGCAAGATACCGCACCTACACGTCGATCAGCAGGATAACATGACCTTGACACCGAACCCAACGCTGACTGCTCCTCATGCAAAACCTATACAAAAGTACAAAACTTCACCACCAAACAATACAGACAGGATGTACGAGGTTGCCTTCGCGTTTAAAACTGCTGCTGTTGCCGCCTTGCGCACTCGACCCGCACTGCATCGTTCCATGTACAAGCGGAGGAGACACAGTAGCGCAGCTGCTACCCTTCGAAGCCACATCTCAGACACTGTGAACTGTGAGCACAGATGGGTGCTGTGGCAGCCCCAAGAGTTGGGTTGCGCGATGATCCCGATACATGCCAAGCCCCTCCGCCCGAATCCCAACACGTGTCGGTCCAGACTCTGCTTTTGTATGTCTCGAGGTTCGCCACCTGTCAAGCCAAGCACTTAGGATGTACATATCATTTACGACCCTCAAGCGCTCCGTTTTGTGGCTCTGTGAAGTATGTAGATAAGACTCAATCTCTGACGGGCAAAAGGCATCCTAAGACTTACAAGATGCCCTTTATCATTTTCTACTGGCCATGTAGCATGATGTGGGGTTTCGATGGACTTTCGGAGATGCTCGCGTTTTTTGGATTTGCCGGCTCGGGTTAACGATCTCTTAGTGGATCTTCCTGCGGACAAAAGCTGATAAAAGAGCACCGCCGAGCCAAATGCTTTTGGGCTCCAGTCTCTGATGTTCAGGGCATGACAAATGCTCGACGCAAGAAAGGAGCAGAACCTAGAAGTCACTGGTGCATGCAAGTCTCGAGCTCGCAGTAATCGGATATGTATGGTTGCGCACCCGGTGTATGGGGGCATGATTATAATCATTATCATCATTCTCAGCGCCACCAACATCACCATCACCATCGTCATCATCATCATCATCATCATCATCGCTGCTGTAGTTGTTGTTGCTGTTGTTGTCATCATCCCTCACGAAGTATGATACCAATACGACACGAAAGAGACGAAGTCGAAGAAGACTAGTGTGGCCACCAACAATAAGCACGAAAGAGCCTGCAAACCAGCATCGCCGGCATCATCGCCGCCAACAGCACCAACAACAACCACTACATCCACAACCCAATACAGTTCTTCTTCATCCTCGCCACAGCCCCTTGAAGGTCCGACTGCTGGTGATCAGTATCCTCCATTGCTTTCATACACCTCAACGATGGGAATCATGGTACACGGCAGCGTCTAATTACTCTACACCCGACGCTCTGCACCCAACATGTCTTAACCCACCACCCTGTCAGCACCTGCCCAGTCTCCGCATGCACAGAGTCCGGGGCGACGATGAGCAGCGCATCGGCGGAAGACGCGTATGTGTAGAGCGAGTTCACGGCTAGAAGCCTTTGGGTCTTCACGGCTTAAGGATTTATCGTTATGGGTATCTGGTGCTAGAGCTTTTTAACTTGTGGATGATTAAGGTGCTGACGAAGTGACATTTCCACTAGATCCAAACTACAACGCGAATTTGGCGACTTTGATATGTGGAGCCTACAGCTAAAGATCCAGCGCTATAGACAAGTTGTACGCAGGTCGCTCTTCGGGCAGACTTGCGTGTTGGCTCGGGGCTTATACTTTTGGATGCATGGAGCGGGGGAACTTCAAACGAGCTGGAATTTAAGGCGAGGGATAAGCGAAGCGGCTGTTTATTGGCTGTCCCGCACTACCAGGCACTCAAAGCCGCATGTCCAATGCAAGCAACGCTGCACATCCATCAGCAGTAACCTAAGCCCACAATACTCCTTCGGCAGTCAAAAAGCTGCACACCCTTGTGGTACTGCGGGATGGACAGGACGTCCAACCAAACGTAGACCTGGGGATTCGACCAAGTTCAGACGAAAAGCGAGCCGCGAGGTGAAGTCTCGAGTGGGTTCGAATTCTCTCTCGGCTTGGAGGCTGGACATTAGGGAATTGCGTGTTCGGTGTCCAGGAAGGATCCTTGGTTCGGCAGAATGCATGGTTCTTCCCAATCAAGGGGTGCTTGGCTCCCTGAGTGATGCAGAGGCAGATCTTTTCTGTTCTGAGCACAGGCTCGCCGAAGCTACCAGGGACCCCCAAAACCTTTCGACTTCGGAAGGATATGCAGGCAGGATTTAGTTCTGGGTTTTGAACTATTATGAGGAAACCTGCGTTTTGAAAGAAAGTTTCTGGTGACATGATGCTGAGAAGTTGAGTGGAAGTCACGCTTTTCAGACTGCGCTTGAGTGGGCAAGGGTCTTGGGCTAGCCAAAACCGTGGAGTCAGACTAGACAGCGAGGGTCGGAGATCTGGGACGGCTTGGAGGGTTATAATGGCAACTTAGGTGCTTAGAGTCTTAGAGTGGATCGAAAAGAGGGCTCATTCGGCGCGTGACCTCGCTCGCCTTCAGCTCCATCGAATCGGAATATCGGGCGACCGCCTGACGCATCGCCTGCACGACGGGATACAACACAGTCTGTCTGAGTCTGCGTGGTGCGTAGCGACTCTTCCAAACCAAACAGCTCTACGTTTTTTTTTGGGGCGGCCCTATGCAAAGCAAACACAAGTCAGCGTACTCACTGTGAGTAGGAAAAGAACGCGCTAGACCTGAGGAGCTTCTTGCACGTTGGCAGCCCCACTAACTGAAGCCAAGCCGGACGGTTAACAGCCAGCCTGTGAAGCAAAAGGAAGGCAAAAGGAAAACTAGGGGCGAGAGTAGTCATGGCATTGGAAGTGTACGAAAGCCAGTGCCATGCTAGCTCTGCACACTGCTCGGCCCAGTGAAGTCTACGACGTCCCGGGCGAATGCCTGCCTGTACTGTACCCCCTCTATATACAAACGCCTTCGTAAAAACACAGTTTCGCTCCAGGTTGCTCGGAGTTGCTCTCAAAACGTGACCAAACAACTTGAGCTGTGCCCTGTGAATGTGGTGGGTGAGGGGGGGTTGGTCGGCCAGGGCTCGGACTCCTTCGTTTCGGATGGTCTGAGCGTTGGGGTTGTCTGTGAGGATCTTGGTGTAGTAGGTAGCTTTGATCCGTTGGATCTTGCGAAGGGACTGTGAGTGGAAGGCCTCGAGCCTGTGGAGGTCAGCTGTGGTGAGCGCAGCGGATTCCATGCCGTAAGCAATCATGGGGATGAAGACCGCGTTGTAGATGCGCAGCTTCCAAGCCACGCTCAGGCCTGTGTGTCGCCAGAAGGCGTGCAAGGTGTTGAAGTGCTTCCGTGCTTTTCCCAGCCGTGCAGTGATGTCCGCCTTGCTGGAAGAGTCCTGGCTGAGGACGACGCCAAGGTACTTGGCCTGTGTGACCTCTTTCATTGACTCTCCTGTGAGGAAGTGTATGTGGTTGACGGCCAGCTGTGAGCGAAGTAATTCGCACTTCTTGAGATTCAGCGAGAGGTTGCTGTGGGCAGCGACTTCCTGAATCTTGTGCAGAATTTGCTGACCTCTTTCAGCAGTGCCTGTGAAAATGGCCATGTCGTCTGCGTAAGCAAGGTCATAGAATGACTGGTTCTGGCTAAAAAGCCACGGGAGCATCTGACCATGCTGCTGCAGCTCTGCATCGACGTCGGCCATGATCATGCTGTGGACCACCAGGAAGAGGTAGGGAGAAAGTGGGCAGCCTTGGCGAATGCCAGAGCTTGCTTGAGACTGTTGGCTCAGTTGCCCCGCCGCCTTTACTGTGAAGGAGGGATTGTTGTAGATCGAGCCAATCAGATTGACAAACGCCGGTGTGACCCCATGCCGTTCTAGTGCCACCGTGACAGCTTGCGGGTGAACCTTGTCGAATGCTTGACTCCAGTCAAGAAGCTGCACGTACAAGGTTGAGCCGCAGCGTTCCGCGCGCTCTAACAGCCTCCTTGCCACGTGTATCGCCTGTGAGGTCGATCTGGTGGCTCGAAACCCGTACTGTGTGGGTCGTAGCTTGGAGTGTATCGCCTGCTCCAGGCGTTTCTGAAGGAGCCTGGCGAAGAGCTTGTAAGAGGTGCTGAGGAGGGCGATGGGGCGGTAGTTGTTGGGGTCCGCCATCGTGCCGCGCTTGTGAATCTCTGCAACGACTGCCGTTGACCATTCTTCCGGTACCAGGCCTGTGAGTAATGCTTCGTTGTAGAGGTCCAAGAGCGGTTGGCGGTTGGCTGGCGTAAGCCATTGTAGGGCCTCCGCCGGAATGTGGTCCGGGGCTGGTGCCTTGAGTGAAGCCATGCCTTTGAGGGTGTTGTTGAGCTCTTCCATCGTGATGGGGGCCATGTTGACTGGACTGTCGTCAGTCAGTCTGTGGGTGGGGCCTGTGTTGTCAGCCGGCGGGGGGGCCCACTGTACTTCCGACAGGTGTTTGGCGAAGGTGTCTGCCTGCTTGCTGTAGCTGGTGGGCTTGCCATTGGAGTCATGCAGAGTGACCGTGCGAGGCCTGTAGTCCGAGCGGATGCGCTTGATCCAGCGCCACTTTTCCCGGGCGTCCAGTGTCTCTTCGCTCTCCTGAAGACGATCCTTAAGCCATTGTTGCTTGTCCTGTCGGGCCTGTGAGCGGATGGTCCTGTGTAAGTGACGCTCCGTCTCCGGGTTCTGACTCTGGCGAGCAGCGGTGCGCTGCTCGATGAGCTCCCACGTCTGTTGACTGATCCAAGGATGCTTGGGCTTGCTAGTCAGTGTGGGGATGTGCATCTCCATGGACTGCAGAATGGAATCCTTAATCGATTTCCATTGCCGGTCCAGCCTCTGCTGGTCTGTGCACGACTGTGAAGGCTGGGGGGAGACGTCCGCCGCATTTGTCTCGGGTGGGGCAGGCTCCTCGAAGGCTGGCTGGTGCTGGAGGGCTTCTGTGAAGTGTGTGTTGTAGGAGAGAATGGACTGTGCGTCAGGGCGTCTGGTCAGCTTGGGGGTGGGGGTGGCTCGCTTGTGGCAGGCTGTGTGTAGGGAGAGTGTGACTCTGGTGAGGAAGTGGTTGCTGTTGAGGGCGGCGTTCGGGAGAGTGTGTACATCGGTGACCATGTTCTTCCAGGCGAACTTGGTGACGGCATGGTCCAGCTGTACCAAATCGCCATTCGGGCGCTGGTGTGTCATCCGATGTCGCTCGTCTTTGTCCATCCACGTCTGCGGGAAGCACAAGTCGTGGCTGACCGACATCTCGAACAGCTGTGCGTGGTTGGACAGTGAGTCGTCCTCCCCGGCCTGTGAGGCTAGGGTCTCGTCGGCCACGTTCGCTCCAAAGTGGGCGTGCGGTCCGACGTTGCCACGATTGGAGGAAAGCTCGTCGAGCAGTTGCGCGTTGAAGTCGCCGACCAATAAGAGAGGTTCGCTGGCGAGGTGTCTGTGAAGGATGTCTCCCAGCGACTGCCAAAATGCATCGCGGACCGGCTGTTCACGTTGATTGTGAGGGGCGTACACCACCTGAACTGTGAGAGGGGCCTCTGCCGTGTCTATCTTGAAAGAAAGAAAACGACCGTCGGTGGCGACAATGTCCAGGATGCAGGGTGTGAGCCGCGGGGAGGTAATCAAGGACACTCCCGTGAAGGTTTGGACCGGATTTCCCTGGGCATCCAGTTTGTCATCCGCACTGTGTGTGACAGTGTACCCATCGATCATAAAGCGGTCCTGTTGCTTCACGTGGGTCTCTGTGAGGGCCAGCCAGTCAAGACCATGCGTCTGCATGATCTTAATCAGGGTGTGGATCTTGCCGGCTTCAAGGAGGCCCGTGGTGTTCCAGAATCCCCCCTTCAGGCGCACTTTGGAGCGCAACTGTGTGGAGTGTCTCTGTCTGCCGTGCTCCTGTGGGCTACGGCAGTAGGTCTTGAACCAGTGGGCCCGTGTATGTTGCTTGTTCTGGGCATCGTGGGCGTCGACCCAAGAGGCACGGCCACTGTTCGACTGAGGCTGTGAGGGGGGGGTAGGGTTGGGCGGAGAGGGAAGGGAGGAGGGAAGTGTGTCCGCTGTGAGAGGGGCAGTGGTGGAGGAGCCTTCCGTGGGGGAGGCGGGCGGGCCAAAATGGCCAGTTGGTGGGGTGACAGGCTCCGGTGTTCGAAGCCTCAAATGATTGGGGGTGGATCGATTCTGTGGAGGGTCTCTTCACTCGCATGTCAGGGGCTTTGGCCAAAAGGCGGTGAAAACGTCTGCAGGAACGAAACTGCGGGCCACGACCCTTAGGGGAGACCCTGGTGGGAACAGGCTGTAAGTCGCCCGGGGTTGGGGCAGTCGGCGTGGGGCCATATAAAGGCTTTTGGTTGTTGATCCTAGCTCTGGAGCCCAAACCACAACTAGGGGTTGGAAAGGTGGAGAGAGCATGCCTCCATGCTCTGTACTCCCGCCTGCTGCGAGATCTGGTGGTGATGCGGCGGCGTGCTCGCTGCTGCCGTGCTGTTTGTGACCTGAGGTGGCGGTGGTATTGTGCTCGGGTCTGTGAGGGAGGGGGTGTCGGGGAGGCTGTAGGGCACTTCGTCGCCGAAAGGCACACTAGAACAACTCTCAGAGCAACCTGGAAAAGCAAAACTGTGAGGTGAAGATGAACTAGAGTTATAATAGTGGCTCAGCGCACCCAGCTCGCCTTTAGGTGGCGTGCCAGAACGGTTCAACTCGTTTTTGCCCAGCTGTGTGGTACGGTCTGGGTCTGCTATGGTACAAGAGGCAGCAGCCTGTGAAAAATGCGGTCGCACAGCTGCTGCGGAAGATTGCAAGGAAGAGAGGGCGCGCTTGCCGAACCATCACTGCGAGCCAGCAGCACGGCGCTTGATGCACCATGCCTCCCAGGCCTCCTGTGAGTAGTCCGTCGGGACCCCACCGTTGTTGATGTGGGTGATCTTGGCTTCCTCTACCGCGCCCTCGAGCTCCGCCTGTGAGCCGAACGGGTAGTAGCTCGGCCTGGCCTTGGTGGGCTGTGGAGGAGGAAGCCCAGAGCTCGGAATGCTGGCCGTACTGATGCCACTGACAGCGGAGGCGGCATCACTGTGAGTGCGCTTCATTTGGGAGGCCACGTCGATCATCGCCCCCACACCTCCGCTCTCCGAGTCCACTGTGAAGGCAGCCTCCTGTTCCTGAGCCGCCATCTGTTCCATGAGTTCTTCTGTGGACCTGAGTCCTGTGAGTGTGTCCTCTCTTCGGCATCCGGTGGAACTTGCACAAACTTGAGCGGCCATGGGAACTCATACCGGAACCTGGCGATCCAGTGATCCAATCCTTCGTCCTCGCCCTCGTTGTACTCTGGGATGGCCTTGGTCAGGAACCGGCTGAGTCTCTTGGCCTCTGCGTAGTTGTGTGCTGTGAGGCGGGCTGCACTGTCAAAAGCTTCCTGCTGGACAGTCGTCTGGTTGACCTGCTGTCGCAATTGGTCGTACCAAATGCTTCGCCAGGTCTCCAAGAGCTTGTTGGCGTGCTCCTCCGGAATGTGGATCTCGCACTCCCAGTCTGTGAGGGTTCCTGTGGAGGTCGTCTGTGAGGGGACCCCGCGGCGGTACACAATGCGTCCCAGCCAAGCCTCTTTGGAGTCGACCAAGGCCAAGGTCTTCCACCTCGGCACCAATGGCTCCTTGGCGAACTTGCTGAAGGCCGCCCTGTAAGCGTTCATGAGTCCCTGGAGCGGCGAAGCAAGCCTGCGTTCAAACTGTGTGACTCCAGGAGAGAGCTTTACGGGACCGCCGCTCCTGTACTCGTAGGTCTTGGCTTCCTCCTTAGACCCGGCTGCCTGTGAGGATTCTGCCGTGGTCTTCTCCGCCGTCCCTTCGGAACTGTCCTTCGCCTCTTCGGGCTCCTTGGGCTCCGCCGTAGTCCCGGGTTTCTCCTGGTGGAAGTACCAAGGGTACACCCTGTCCGCTACCTCCAGGATCCGCTTCCGGACTGTGAGGGAGGGGACTGTGAGGATGGACGTGGCGGAGAGCTCCAGCTTGCCCGGCGTGCCAGTGTCCAGGCGTGTCGTGGTCAAGTCCCACATGCCATCAATGTTCCACAGCCCAGCTTTCGCAAGGGCCTTTTCCACTGTGAGGCGACGGTCCGCCTCCGTCTGCCACGTGGGGAAGTTGCGGCAAACTATGGTACGTTTGGCCTGTTCGATCTGAGCAAAGAGCATGTCCTTCTCGGCCCAGGCTGTGCGGATGCGAAGGGCCCGGACCTGCTGCTCAAGGTTGCTCACTCGCTCGTTTGTCCTCACCTGTGAGGTAGACAGGGAGGAGTAGACGGCTCCCAGAGCAGGGGCGACCTTCTGCTGCATGGCCATCTGCACCAGCTCCATGCACTGCCCAACCGTGGCCGGGGCGTTGAGGTCTACCCCCTGTGCTAACGGCACTGTGAAGGACTGTGGCTGCAGCTGAGTCGGAATGAGCACGGCAGCCGAAGACTGTGGGGTATCCATGCGTGCTTCCAACTGAGTCATGCGATCTGTGAGGTCTTGGTGCTGCTCTTCACGCCGTGCTCCTTGCAGCTTCACTTGTTCTAGCTGAGCAGCCACTTCTGCCAGCAAAGCAGACATTTTGTCCAGCTGGTCTCCCTGGCCCGACATGGCTTCAAAGAAAGAAGAGGGAGGGACCTGTGAAGCTTGAACCGCTCGTGAGCTTAACAGCTCTACGTAGGCCCTGGAAAAGTGTTTTGCCCAATTAAGCCCTTTTTGCCAACTAAGCCATGCAGGACGTAAAACCGATCCTGAAACCCAAGCCCAAACCCCTGAAGCCAGCAAGTCGCCCAAGTTTAGCTGCTTCGGCAACGCTTCGGCTACATCCTCAACATTCTGAAAGCTCTTTTAATGAGACTTTTACTTCAACAACCCTCACAACCCCTACTACTCCAACTTCTGAGCCCCCGTGGATTCCCACATGTGGATTCCCAAAGACCAAAATACCTACAAGACCGTTCTAAGCTGAAACCCCACTGCCCCAAGCCCTTCTTGAACACGGCGCCGACCTCGAACTGCGTGGCGTTGGGGCCGTGGCGGTTCCACGAGAGCCACTGGTAACTCAGGAACACAATCCTGGGGCAAAGAACTCTATGGCTCAGGGAGCCTTGGGCATTCGCATAAGGGGCAAATCGTATACTCGGATGAAACCGAGAATGGGATCTATGAAGATACTTGTAGCCCCAACAGTAACCTCCGCACCAAGCCCCTTCATCCTTTAAGAGGAAATGCAGATTCTGGGCCAAGGGCGTGGGGTTGGGGTTTAGGCTTTAGGCCCCTAAAGGTCGTGCTGTTGAAGCGGGTCGAGCTTTCTTGTGGGGGCGGGTTGCCATGTGGGTGTGCACGTGCATGTTCTACCGTTTAGGGCATGGCAAGTCGCCGGAACTAGCGGCTTCAGGCGTAGGCTTTAGGCCCTAGGCTTGGTGGGGGGCACCCAGCCAGTGGGAGCAGATTCTTTCGAACTGCAATGCCAGCCTCCGCCTGATCGCTTCAGATTTTCGCTGCCTCTCGGAGAGTGGGGCTTGGGGTTTTGGGCCTGGGGTTAAATGCTTAAGGGTAAGCTTTACGCAAAGCTCGCTGAATCACCGAGTGTCCGTGAATTCGGCTCTTGCTTCCAGTGCGCTTGGATGCTGGACTTCGAGTCCATATATGTCAGGATCCTCGGTTGGCGGTGGAGGCGCTGCTCAGGCACTTCTTCTGTTAAGTTACATCCTGCCCAGAATGCTTCCTAAACAGGAGGAATAAGAGTGTGACGACCTTACATCGCAAGCCATGGGCAGAAGCGGGGATCCAATTCGTAACGGCAGGTGAGCTGAAAAGCAAGGGATCATCATCGTCGTCGGGTTTCGAGGTTCAGTACAACGGACATCTGCCGCTTTAGAAGGGAATGCCACCACGAAAGATTGAGGGTATGGCTGGATATGGCTGCCATGACACACTGTCGGCATCGTCGGAGTTAAACGAGGTCTAATGAGGCTGATTTTTCGGGAGGGCTCAAGCCTGGAAGCTACTTCTCGAAGCTATGACACGAGAACCCCCCTGAAGAAGTGACAGTGGTTGGTTGTAGTGGCAGTCGCCGTGGCCGTCCTCCTTGTAAACGTCCTGATGGTGGTACGTTGTTTGTGCGTCGTCGTGGCTGCTGCTGGTGACGATGGTGATGACTGAAACTCCGAACAAGCGGCCCTCTGTCACGCGCACCTTCGTGCAGCTCTCCAATCCTTGCAGTGTCGAACGCCGACGAGACAAGGATCTGGAGTTTGGGTCTGGGGCGCAGGTTTCAGGCTTCACGCGCTGAAAAAACAAGATGTCATGCGCCTTGAATGCGGGTGGGATGTCTGGTCACTCTCGCCCAACCACACGGATTGTGACAACGACAAGCAAGTTATAACAGAAACACCGGAGGAGGTTGGGTAGAGGTCAGCTGCGGTCGTGCAGAAATTGTAGCACTGCATTGGTAAACGTGCAGCAGGAGGAGTAGCCGCAGAAGCAGAGAAGCATAGCACAAGCAAAAATAGAAGCAAATGTAGACGTGGACACGGATGTGGACACGGAAGTGGATGCAGACCGAAGACATGGACATACACGTAGTTGCAGTCGCAGTCGTCGTCGTCGGAGTAGGAGCAGGAGGTAGGAGGTAGCAGTCATCGTCGTAGTCGCAGTGGCAGTCTTGGTCGTAGTAGTCGCAGTAGCAGTCGTCGTCGTCGTAGTAGTAGTAGTAGTAGAAGTAGAAGTAGCAGTAGCAGTAGCAGTAGCAGTAGCAGTGGCAGTAGTAGTAGTAGTAGTAGTAGTAGTAGTAGTAGTAGTAGTAGTAGTAGTAGTAGTAGTAATAGTCGTAGTGGCACTGGCAGTGGTAGCGGTAGTGGTAGTGGTATGGGTAGCGGTAGTGGTAGTGGTAGTAGGTAGTGGTAGGAGTAGGAGGAGCACCAACAGCAGTAACTGTGGCAGCATGAGGTGGGGTGGTCGTTGCAGTCGTAGTTGTAGTAGCCGTCGCCCTGGTCCTAGTCCTTGCCCTTGCCTAGTCAGAGACCTGGTCCCGGTCGTCGTCAGCAGCAGACGTAGTAACAAAAACACGGACAATATGAACTATGAGTGGGAAAAGGCAGAAGGAAAACTCATCCACCGAAAACCCCGAACTCACACCGTGAACCTGGAAGTAAACCATCAAGTAAGGCGGAGGCTGTTCGAAGGAGAGGTCCATGAAGATGTCGGCTCGTGTCACCCTGGGACCCAAACTTTCCAGGATTTCATGCCAACGATTCCGGGAGTCGGCCTTTGGCCTAAGAAAACCTGGGAATTCGCATTGAAGGTTGCGGCTTCGGCAGCCTTTTTTCAAGACAGCGTTGAAGACAGTTTTGTGTGAGCTAGTGCTTCTTGCGCGGCATGCATCAATCCGAAGGCAGTACGGCTTCTGCGTTCAAACTTCAATGGCTTAGGCCTTAACGTTCAGGCTTCCCCACCCCGTACTTCTGGACCTTTCTTCGCCGAGTTGCACCATGGGATGCGCAAGCTCGGTGATGGAGCCTACACCTGCACGGAATCCAAAACTCTCTTGAAGCCATGGAGCTTAAAGTTGCTTGCAGTGCAGGTGTGCCCCTGCTTCTGACTCGAACAGCACAGAGAGAAGGCACGACCACTTATGCTGCAAAAAAGAAGGGAAAGGAACTACTTGAGCAATGCAACCAGAGTTCCTGATGTCTGGAGCTTGGAAAGCTGTTGGGGTCAGGGTGTGACGGTTATGCTGGCGGAGTTAAGGTTTAGGGCGTAGCATTTGGGTTCAGGTTTTGGGGTTTAGGGCTTGGTCTTTGCAGTGGGCATCTGCGGTATCTCCTCCTGAAATCTTCGCAGCATCGCACATGCTTCGGATCACCAAGCCTTCAGGCTCCTACATCAAGGAGCAAGGAGCTTTAGAATCGGATAACCCCAGTTAGTATACTTACATCCCCCAAACATGTGCTACTAAGTCCCTTGACCTGGTACAGGTTAAGTACACGAACAAGCCAGCAGAATCGAACCTACAGGCTTACCTCCACCCAGAGCCACGGGAGAGCCAAGAATCACCCCCCCAAACTGCTCTGGGTGGCGGTTTGAAGCTTCAGGATTTATGGTTCCTCACCAACATACCAGAGTCGGTGTACTTGAGGCGGATTTCTCGGATTTCGACTCGTGGCTTCCTGTCTAGGCCGGTTTAAAGCATAGCCTTTGGGGACTGTGACCCCGTCCAAAGCCCAAAGCCGACCGGACCTCCGCCCCGGACCTCCGCCCCGTCCCCAGGTCCGCCTTCTTTGACCTTGCTCTCGAGGACGGCTTTGTGCCTTTCCTCCGCCGCCTGGCCAGACTTGAGGGGGTTGCAGCTTGGGGCTCAAGATGCATCCGTAGGATGGTGCCGGAGCTGAGGGTTTATGGCTTAGGGTTTGGGGGTTGCGGGGCATTCAAGATTTGGGGGACGGTTGAGGGCGTAGGCCTTGGAGTTTGGAGATGATGTTCAATAAGGTTGAGAAAGACCATGAGTTCCAGCATGGCTTAGTGGTACAACCCCTGTAATCCAAAGCCCCAGACCACACATGAACCCAGACCCCAAAACCCTACAGCACTCTAACCTCAACCCCTCACGTTCAAAGTGCACAGTCCGTTTCCCTAAACGCCAAAAAGGCTAGAGCGCGTACAGTAGCGGTAAACACTACGGAACGGCAGCAGCGTCGGCTTCTTTTTGTCCGGTGGCGTGAAGCAGTCCGGGCTCGGGTGGCCCTGGTCGGGAAGCAGAACTCGGACCAGGACCAGAGCCGGATGCAGTGTCGATCCGCATTCTCTCTGGCTGGAAAACCATCCCCAAATCCAGGGGAGCCAGAGGAGAATGGGAAGGCGGACAGAAGGGGACGGTGGCGGGTACAGAAAAACTGCGGAAACGGATCCCCGCTCGAACCGGGTGGCTTCGGCGGGGGTCCGTTGCGTGCACTACCAAACACATCCGTTCAAGCACGGTACCGTTCAAAGTGCACAGTCCGTTTCCCTAAACGCCAAAAAGGCTAGAGCGCGTACAGTAGCGGTAAACACTACGGAACGGCAGCAGCGTCGGCTTCTTTTTGTCCGGTGGCGTGAAGCAGTCCGGGCTCGGGTGGCCCTGGTCGGGAAGCAGAACTCGGACCAGGACCAGAGCCGGATGCAGTGTCGATCCGCATTCTCTCTGGCTGGAAAACCAATGGAAACCTCGAGCCGGAAGCTTGACCACAGCCGTGGGACCAGCCAAAATGAGAATCAAGCAGAGCAAGAGCCACCCGGGCATAGGAAACCAGAAAAGTCCGCCGCAGACGGGAATAGGGACAGATCCGGAGAAGGCGGAAACTGGTCCCAAGAGATGCAATGTTCCTGGGACATCTCGAACCCCAGAGACGCAGGGTCAGCAGAGCGACTTAAGGCGTCTGCGACGTCATTCGACAATCCCGGAACGTGATCAATGTAGACGGAAATGCGACGCGCCTGCTGGCAGAGCAGAAAAGATCGGAGCACAGAGCAAAGGCCCTTGGCCATAGACAGACCCTTCCAGCTCGCGGCATCGGCAGCAGAGTTGTCGCATTTGAAGACGCAGTGCACGGGCAGGTGCCCTGGTCCCAGCAGGACGTCCAATAAGACAACCAGCGCGCATTGTGCCAGCAGTTCCCAGCTGGCGATAAAGGCCTGAGCAGAGGCGGTCTCAGGGAACCAGGAAAAGAAGCTATGAAGCTCGTGACGGTCAAAAGATTGACGAAAAAACAGTTGGCGCCCGTCCGGTAAACGAACGAAGCCGCCGAGTCCCGCGGAGAGCTCAGTGGCGCAGGCGTCAGCAAAGGCTTCACAGACGTAGAGGGGCGGTCGCAGCAAGGAGCGAACGGCCGTGCCAGACTGGCAGAGATCCAACCAGAGTCTCAGCACCTCCTGCGAAGAGTCAGAGAGAACACACATCCCGGTGTGCGGAGACGAAGACTGAAGCCAGATGCGACGGGCATCAGGGGCCTGCAGCGGAAGGTCACCGCGGCAAGAGACCGCAGTTTGATTGACACGTAGGATCTTGGAGCCCGGCGGAAGGGCAGCCACCCCAATCGGACGCAGCAGGATGAGGTCCGGAGAGAGAGCCTGCAATAGTTCAGGCCACCGCTCGGGTTGAAGCGCTGTCATGGTGGGCAGCAAAGCATGCTGGTCTGAGTAAAGCGGAGCCAGAGAAGGGCGGAATGTACGGAACAGAGAAGACAGCCAGAGTAGCTTGCCCGTGACACGCTCCAACAAATGACAGGAGCATCGTTTGGACGAAAGGGCCTGCCGGAGCAGAGCACAGAGCCGTGTGAACTTGCCGGGGTCTAACTTCACGCAAAAATGTGACAGGTTAAACTCCCAGCCGATCCACACAACAGACGGGCCCAAAGCAGCTTTGTGCCATGACATGGGCACGCGCAGAACCAGAAGAAGGACGACAATTAAGGAGGCCCAAAGCGGGGCCGATGTGGCATGCAAGAGTGCCAGGATGTCGTCAACGTAAATCTGAGCCGAGTGGCGGACGCGGACAATTCGGTGGACCAGGCGGAGTAACAGACCGGCGGCACGGGCCCAGTAAAATGATGACACGCGGGCTCCAAAATTTAGTGTGAGACACTGATACAGCTTGCCACGGTGGCGGAAGCAAAGAAGGCCGCGGTCAAGCGCACGAATCAGAATACGGCGATGCGCTTTAGCAACATCCAGTATCAAAGCGGCAAGCCGTTCCGAGGAATCGGAGAGAGGCATACAGAAGAAGACGTCCGACAGAGTGGGGTTAGCAGAACGGTTGGGCAGAGCAGTGTTGCTCGTGACGCCAGACACAGAGCTGTCGACCACCAGACGCGGAGGACGTCCCTCAGCCAGCACGACTCCCAGTTTGCCGACCGCCGTACGATTGTAGCGACGGCGCAGCTCGGCATCCCCTCCCCGAACCAGAGCGATCCAACCTTCGGCCAGCTCAGCTTCGAGCAACTCATCCACCACATCTGCGTGATCAAGGGCAGATTTCCAGGCAGAGTCACAACGCTGAAGCGGGATGACCGTGGCGTCAGGGGAAGGAGGAGGATGCATAACCGGACACGGGGGAATAGGCTCTGGCACGCCCAAGGGGACGCCAGAGCGGAGAAGATCAAAGTATCCCGAATCCGGGTCTGCACAAACCAGCGAGAGACAGTGCCAGAGATTGAGCCGAAACGGCTGACCTTCTTGGACCAGAAGCAGACGTTTCCAGATAGTGTCGTCCTCCACATGCAGGAAGGAACGGAGGTCATCCAGAAAAGGAGCAACCTCAGCCTCAGACAATGGAGGAGACTTAGACCCGGAGTTCAGGGAAGCAGCAATGCGTTGGGCAAGACCGGACGCAAGCAGTCGTTTGGTCCAGGCTGCCCTCAGAGAGGACAGCGGGTCAGAGGAGACTGGCCTCGGGGAGGCAGTACTGCAAGTACCAGCACCGTCCTCAACCCTGTGGGACCGAGCAGGCCAAGTAAAGCGACACGGCAACAGCTGCAGCCAAGTCGCAAGGGGTAGGGCTGCTGCGGCAAGGCATCCGAAAGGAAAGGAGCCGCCATGCGTGCCAGGGCTGCAGCCAAAGACGGAGGGTAGCATGCAGAAAGGCGAGTGGCAAAGGATCCATCCGCCAAGCGCTTTCCGGACACCTTGGCGTGAGAGCCTAGGGGGTGAGGGCAGACACATGCAAGGGTTGCGACCTCCGGGGAGTTAGAGCAAAATGACCAAGCCTTGTGTTGGTCCAGGCCATGATGGCAGCCAGCAACCGTAGCAACGTGGCGGCAGAACAGCCGGAGCCATGAAACAACGTGGATCCAACCACAGCAGGGAGGAGGAGGGATTCTCAACCCAAATGAGACCGCCTCGGGAGTCCACCAGACAGAGAAGATGGCGCGTTCGTTGATGCAGCACAGAGGAAACCCTGAGCTCTTCGGCCTGCGAGGCAGAGGGAGAGAGAATGCCAGTAGGATGGTGGAGAGTGCGCACCGGAGAAGGACCACCAGGACGCAAGCGGGACCTTGAAAAGGCTGCACAAGGCGGAGCAGCACCGGCAGCACCCACCAAACCGGAGGAGCAAAGTCGACAGAGGTGGTCGAAGCAGGCATCATCCAGCAAGTCCGCTGCCGACGCAGCCAGCTTGTCGACAGGTTCAAAGCAAGCCTTCCCGAGCGCCTGAAGTGCGGTCGTCACCGGGGAAGACGATCCGGAAAAAAGGTCCAGGAACAATCTGGCGGCAGGAATAGAGGGCGCCGCAGAGTTAGCGGTCGACGGCGACGGTGGGCCCAGGACAGCAGGCGAACCGCTCGACCCAGAAGGACGCAAAGCAGGAGCAGAAACGGGCGAGACCGCTGAGGGTGCCGAGCTAAGGAAAGACAGAGAGAGACTGCTAGCAGCAGCAGGGGCCTCCGCAGACCGTGCCGCCGGAGCGGTAGTAGGATCAACGGAGGTGAGAACCGTGGAAGCTCAGTGAGGTGTCTTGCCATGGTCCAGAGCGGAGTGCGGCTGACCGCAGGCTTTGCCGGAAGGAAGCGGGACCGGGCAGCCATGCACAAATTTGCAGTCGGTCTTAGTGCATTTGCCGACTGCGAAACGCATGCAGGCCTCTTTCTCCCCGATGGTCTTGCACCAGGACGGGTCCCAGCCTTTCGGAGGCGGATTGGCAGCAGTCTTGGCCTTGGCCGCTGCTGCTTTAGCCTTGGCTTTAGCCGCAGCGGAATCGTGACCGGACGAGTCGTCGGTCAGTTGACGCTTCCTGCCCAGGCCCTTACCAGGTTTACCATCGGCGGAGGGCGGAGGCGGAATGCGCGGTGGACGTGGACGGGGCTGGAGTAGATTCGACATTTCACCGCGACAGAAAGCGATTTCGCTCAGTGCATCGGGGAGGCTCCAGCCATGATCACTCGTGAGCTCGTAGACGGAGGACCAGACCGCCCTGTCCGCGTGGAGAATCTCCTGAAGGGTGGGCGAGCGAAGTGCCTGATCGAGGGGAGCCGCCAGAGCCAGAGACAGAAATTTTTCGTGAAATTGTTTTATGGTGGCAAGGTGCACGAGATCTAACATGGCTAACGCGGTGGCCAGCAGAGACAGTGCACGACGCAGGACCGGCTCCGGATGACCCTGCATGTTAACCGGGACCGTCGGGCCAGGGGGCTCAGGTACATCATCCAGCAGCTGACGGATGAAGGAGCGGTCATTGCGAGGTTTGCGCGTCTCTTCCCAGCGAGCGGCATCAGCCAAGCACGTGCGCAAGCGCCACGGGACCCAGAGGGAAGCGGCAGAGTCACTGTGCTGCTTCAGCAGAGACAGGAACTCGAGAGACGGGGTGGATGACGGGGTGAGGAGTTCCCCCGGGTACTTAGCCACGAAGTCCTTCTTCAAATGTGTGAAGTCCGTGGGCTGGAGCTTGGCAGACACGGGACGAGGCAGGCGGCACCGGCAGACCCAGAGTGGAAAGTCCCGGGGTGACACGAGGGGGCGCCGCCAGAGCAGCCTCGGACAGCAGGCGACGGACACAGGCCGCGTCTGCAGACACGAGACCCGCTGCGGCGGTGTCGTCAGACAGACCGAGCAGCGTGCAGATGAAGACCTTGACCTCGTCGGGATCAGAGGGATCCGCAAGAGCGTAGGCCAAAGAACTAAGAGAAGAGTACCCCTTCGCCGCCAGGGCTGAACGCACGGCCGCAGAAGCAGCAAGCTGTTCCAGCAGGGCCGTGAGCGCCGCCGCGTCATCAAGACGCGGGCGGGCAGCCATGACGGATAGGCAAGAGGGGGAACAGTGGGGGGAAGCGAAAGAGCAAAAACAACTGCGGCGAGCACAGGACAGGAGCACAACCCAGACAAGTACGCCAACAGGACGCGAGCAGAACACAGGCACGCTGTTTTGATAGGCGCGATGCAGGCGGCTCGAGTGAGCTAGTACCCGTGCAACCGGTGGCAGCGGGCGCAAGCATGCGTGCGGTGACCCCGACCCCGGATGGGGCGGCCGCAGAGTCGGTCACAGTCCGGGTTGATGCACGGCAGCATGCAAAGGTCCGGCGGGCCTGACTGATGCTGCACAGTGTGCATGCCGAGGACCCTGCCGCGATCACGCCCCCGCCTCACAATAGTGGGTTCGGAGGGCATCGACGGAGGCGGCGGAGGCGACCCAGATGCGCTGCATACGTGGGTCAAACGGAGGACCAGGAGGCACCAGAGTACGGTGCTCCAGGGCAGACAGCAAGAACAGCAGACGGGCTCGGAGCTCCGGTGGATAGTATGTCAAAGAATCCAGGATCTGTCCATCCGAAGCCTGCGGATTGAGCCAGAGTGCATAAGGATTGCTGGGGCCACCACCGTCAGTGCTGCAGCGACGAGGCGGAGCGGCCGAAGCAGGCATCGCGGCAGAACCAGAAGGAAACGCCGAGGACCCAGAGTTAGTCGAGGAGGGCGCGGACGACCAGGGAGTGACCACTGGCGGTTCCCCCATGGGAGACGGTTCCGGCTCAACCTCGGCCTCGTGAGCCTGGGGAGTCGGGGCGGGCATGGTCGGGGCGTGCCCGTGTGCCACCGGCGAGGGGGACGGCGGATCCAGCACCGTGGCGGCCAAAGCCGGGGCGTCCATGGGAGCGTCCGCCGGGCTCGCGTCCGAGAGATCCTCAATGGGATCAGAAGCGGCTGGGGCAGCCGCAGCCGCGGGAGAGACCGACTCGATGGGGTCCGACGAAGACATGGCAACGAGCGGACGGCGGGACAAGACGAGGGACACGACGAACCGAAACGGCTGCGGCAGATAAAAGCAAAGTAAATGACCCCGGACGGACGCACAACAAACCCTCGCAAGCAAAAGACCCCTTGTTTGCGCCCACCCCGCTGGTCACAGCAGCTTCAGACGGTGAAGGCAGCCCGTGCGCAGGCAGAGAGTGGCACCTTTGGGGAAAGCTGAGACAGAAAGCTGTCGGGCGCCAGTTGGGAGGTGCGAGCCCCGCAGATGGGGCGGAGCCAGATGTCCTCGCCGGAGGCGGAGGAGTACATCTTGGAACGAATGGCCTGAGGCTCTGTGGCTACGGCAATGTGCACCACGTTGCTTCGGGAGTTCCACAGGTACCCGCGGCCCTCGAGGGAAGCAGACGGGGGAGGCGGAAGCGGAGCCGAAGCGTCCGACGACGCCGCCTCCCCGGCCACGACCGGAACTTCCTCATCAGAGGGAGCTTCACTGGATTCGGAAGAAAGAGAAACAAGGTCTTCTTCCTTGACGGAGGCGGGGTCCGGCGCGGCGAGGGGAGGAGGGGAAGGAAGAGCAGCCGGCAGTGGGGCAGCCTCCGGGAAGCAGTCGGGCGTGAGTGAAAAATCCGACGGAAGGCCAGTTGGAGCAGGCAAGGTGACCGGAAAATCCGGCAGAGGCTCGTCCAGGCCGCGCGCAACCGGTTGCAAGGGCCGGAATCCGGAGCGCAAGGCCAGCACCAGCTGTCGCTGAAAGCGAAGCATCGGGATAATATCGTCCCTGGAGTAAAGGGAGACTTATTGGTCGGAGCCAGAAAGTCGGTGGTGACCTTGGATGCGACGCAGTTCAGACTCAGACCCGAGCTGGCGACCCCATGCCAGTAACGTACATTTCAGAGAATGTGCCGCCACCAGGCCAAAGGCAGCCGGAGGCGGGGACGTTGAATGAAGATGCCAATGACGGAGAAGTAAGCCCCGAAGCCACAGAACCATCTTATCCCGTTTGAGGGGACCACCCATGACCGGACGAGATTCGGACCCGGACAGGGTGGCAGGAACAAAGTCCAGGGAGCGACCCGGGGAGATCCGCATGGTATCCGCAGCACACTGAGATAGGGTGCTGAGGAAACGGAGTGCCCAAGACGCGGAGGCGGAGCCAAGAAGGCCAGAAGTGAGGATGCCAAATGGCATTCCTCTTTTAGTGGTTTTTGTACGAAGGCACGTACCCACCAGCGCAGACGCTTGCGGCTGGTAATGGAGACGGCGAGGAGGGACCCAGAGAGCATCGCCCCAACGTAAGCTGCCCCAGATACAAAGCAGAAGGTAACCGACCCTGAGAATTTCGGCCGCGGATGCGGACGGATCCAGAACCAGGGATTCGAGCCACACAACAAAGCTCAAGCTCAGTGGTAGGCTTTCTCGGTGCTCCGTAGGGGAGGAAGCAACGGAGAAGGCCTGACAGACCGGGGACAGCAGAGCCGCTTTAAGGGCCGGCAGACCCGCCGTCTTGCAGAACCACGATAGAGCCTTGAGCTGCATGGTTGACAGACCCTGTTTACTGGCTTGGCTGCGCAACCAGTCCGGGAGCAGACCAGGAGGCGGGGACAAATGATTGGCCCCGGCCAGACGGCAGAAGGAAACCCAGTTGAGCCAGGCATCAAAGTAACGCTGCAACGTGGAAGGGGCAAACCTGGCAGCCACCCGCTGCACATGAAAGTCCATGTGGGCAGATGCAGACGCCTCCACGAAAAGGGCGCTCTCGGACCCCATTGCTTTTAAAAGCTCCGTCCAGCGGAGAAGAAGAAGACGCATCTCTTCAGAAGCCAGTTCGGCGGAACCGGCCACCGGGCCAACCGGAGAGGCAGGCAGGCGCATAAAGGAAGTAGATGCAAGCCCTGTGAAGTCAGACGCCGCAGGCAGGGGAGAAGAGGCAATGAGTGCAGGTCTGGGTGCAAGACCGAGCACAAAATTATTCAAATGGCGTCGTGACGGAGGCGGGGTCGGAAAAGGTCTGGACGGGGGGGCCGGAAACCCGCGAAGAGGCGGAGAAAGCGCCGGAGCGGGCGGTGGCATGAGCGCACGAGGTCTGTAGGACGCCGACAAGGTGCCTGAAGCCCAGCGTGATGGAGGCCGAACCAGAGAAGCCGAAGCAGAGGCAGAGCAGATCGGGGAAACAATTGACCAGGTCGCGCCACTGGTGCTGGCGCCCGGACAAGAGGGAATTCCAATATGAGAGGTGGACGCCGAAGGTGGAGTTGTGAGCAAGTGTGGTCGCGGGCTGGGGGTAGCCAGCAGGCTCAGCGGAGAGGCAGGCGCAGAGAAGGAGGGCGGTCCGCTGGGACGGATGCCCTGCGGAGAGTGCACAATGTCCGGAAACGGAGAAGAGCCAACGCCGAGGGCGGAGAGACCTGGGTCAGCAACCCCGTTCTGCGCGGAAGCCGCCGAATGAAGAAGACCAGGTGAACCTGTCAGGTGCAAACAGAAAACACGTCAGAAGTGAAAGCCCGTGGCCTGTCTCGAAGAGCAACAAGTCGGGGTCCTGAGCAAGACACAAGCAGCGGTGTAGAAGGAAACAAAGAACTGCAAAAGCAAAGGACTGCAACATACGCACTGTTTTAAAGAGACTGCGAGGCAGCGAGTAAGGGTCGGCAGGCGGACGGGCGGATGCCGACCGCTGCAGAAGAGAAGACGGCGGGCAGAATCATGAAGATTCAGCCGCAGAAGGAAGAGGGGAGCCGAAGGCTCGCCCTCGATTAAGGATACTTGAAAAAAAAGGACCGGTGGAGGCCGAAACCAGACGCAGCCCAGCAGCCGAGCACTTACGGCGTCGGACGCAGGGCGGATGCGGAGACGGACAGATGGCTCACCTACCTGTGAGGCAGTGGTAGCAGGTGTGGCCATCATGGCCGGACCTTTCGCCCACCATGATCGGACGCAGGCATCTGTTGCCCTCGGAATTTGTGGCCAAGCGGGTGCAGATGTGGGTGCAGTAACCTCGCAGAGCGAGGTGCTGCAAGGGCTCTGCCGGGGCCAGCGGACTGATGTAGTCCGGGTGCTCGTCCGGACGCAGACAAAACAGATCCGGAAAAGGCCACCAGGCTGGCCTGTGCCATACTCCGGCGGTCGTCGGAGTGTTCACGCGGATCTGCCAACCTTCCCTGGAACTCCAGGGAGCAGTGCTGAGCTGCGGTGGCAGACGCGGAGTGACATCGACCCACCGGTAGGTGTCCGGAGCCAGACTGCGTGGGTCGAGCTGCGCGGACCAACCCGCCTCCCAAAAATCATTGGGATCAAATGCGCGGCCGCGGGTGGCGGGCGGACCGGTCGACTCAGGTGCAGCGGCGGGTGCGGTTACCTCCGGTGCCGGAGGAGGGGCACCGCTTCCGGAAGCAACGTCCGCCAGGGGGGTTGGCGCGGACGGGAGCGGCCGGCGGGGCGTTGAGCTTGGGGTGTGGCAGAGGGCAGGCTTTTTGCTGCGGAATCGGACCTGCGGCCTGACTTGCGCCCTTGGCGGGCGGCTCCTTCACCGGCGGACCCGTGCGGCCTCCAACAGAAGGAGGCGGGGTCGGAACAACCGGAGGCAGAGCGGGTGCTGAGCTGCCGTCGTACCAGGCGAGCCTGGCGGAAATGGCGGACAGAGTACCCGCACTGAGACGGAGCAGATCAGAAGTCGGCAGGGACGAAAAAGCAGCTGCCATGGCCGGTTCCGGATTGTCAAGGAACGCCACGATGTCAGACCATGCTGCCGACGGCGGAGACGGGGCACCTCAGGTTCCAGGAACCGTGCCGGTGGCATGGCAGAGTCAGCTTCTGCCGGCGCAACCGGGACGTCAGTCTCGGAAGCGGCGTCAGCGGCAGAAGTCGGCGAATGCAGCGGAGCCGGACCGGGAGCGGAGCCCTCTGTAGGACGCACAGGGTGCGATTCGGAGGTGGATTCCGACGGAGAGGGCTCGCAGGGCCGGCGGTCCGCAACGGGAGCAGATGAAGCCGTCATCGCAGGCGGACAGAAGACGAGAAGGGGGCACAGCAGACGTGAACAAGACGGCTGCGGCA